CTTTTGTTATTTATGGATGGTTGTGACTTGTACTTTAGCAATTAATGACAACGTTACCCTAATTCAACCCACCCAAATACACGCACACATACACACTGTTGACAACAGCAGCAATAATAATAGCCTTTTTCCAAGGTGAAATTATTAATCACCAAACAAACTATATTAGATACGATTTTGTTTCTTAAAATTGAGTTTAAATATTTGAAAATAATATTTTTTATTAAAAAGTAAGTATTTATTATGTTTGGATATTTTTAATATAATGAATACTTTTTGGTTTTTAAATATTTAAACTCAGACTTAATTAAGAGTTGTTGTACATTACATATATGCTTGAGCATTATATAAACTTATTTAAATTTGTATCAAAATATATTGACATAGTTTATCTTAGACAATTTTTTTGTATAGGTATGTATTTTTTAAAAAATTAATAATACAATTTACTATTTTTCGTATTGAAGTTATAGTTAAAAAATAATTACATTGAGGTAGTTCATTTTTAAGATATTTTGCATATTTCTCATTCTGCTCAGTAATAAGAATTTTTAACTTTTTTAATGATTCATTCTTAACAATGCAACAATGGTGAAAAAATGGCAATAATCTTGTAATATACAGCTTTTCTTTGTTAGCTTATTCTACTTGTCTTTTGCTCTGATAACATTGTATCAATGGTGATGGCATTGCAACTAGCATTCTTTTTTCATCTTCTGTTTTTTTGTTGTTGGGTTAATTTTTCACATTGTTTGGATGGCTAGAATTTTGCCTTTTTTGTACCCAGCCCATCGTAGACTCCTACTCGCACACCAGTTCAACAATTCCTTGTGATGGATCAACAAATATATTTCTTATATTAAAATCATAAAAAGACAATAAAACTATTATAAATATCATTGTAACATGATCTTATATTTCTTATTGATTGTATTTATAGAAATGTTTTTTATATAAAATTTAAGAAAATATTATATATTTATTTTGTACTTTAGTAACTTATCTAAATAAAACAGCATATATTGAATTCAAATTATTTTCAAAGAAATAACTAATTATTTCTCAAGAATCCTCTAAAATCTTAGCAAAAATACACAAATACTCGTTTCTCTAAAATAGGATAAATTAAATATGGTTAATTTATACTATTTTAAAAAATTAAATATATTTAGTCCTATAATTTTGCTATATTTCAATTTTAGTCCCTAAAAAGTTATTTTAATCTCTATTTTTAAACAAAAATAACGCTTCCTAGATAATGTGGCCTAACAAAAAATGACACATGATAAAACAAAAAACAATTGACACATTGAATTTTTTTTTTTAAATAAAGACAAACTAAAAGAAAAATTCTCGAAAAAACATATTAAATTTTACAAAATATAAGAATGAAAAACATATTTAATCTCTAAAAAATTGTCAAATTGTGATTCAATGTAGCTTGCTCGAAAAGATATTGCCATTGTGCTGTAATTTTAATCAGGTGGAGTGATACGTGTGCTTACACTAGAATACCTAATCAAGGAAACCAAGTTTTCTAAGTCCAAAAGAAAATCATATTGGATTGCTAGTGTTGTGTAAAAGATGGTAAAGTATTATCAAGAATAGAGAAAACTGTTATCAAAATACTACTCTTAGCATCTATGTTTGATTTTAGATTTATCAAATAATACTTTAACTTTAACTTTAACCCAACAATCATGGCATTGTTACACATTTATAAGATTGCAAGTGCTACTCTCGTACGTTGTTCTAAACAAGAATGTTTCGCATTACTCCGAAACCTGCACGATTGTAACAAACTGATAGGGACTAGTGTTGGGCCATAGTAAGTTTGTCCCACATCGAAAAATATTTTTAAAAAATAAAATGTTATAAATATGAAAAAAAATATTGCATTTACTTTATTTAATCAGCATGTAATTTCTTTTTGCACTTAAAGTTTGGATAATTGTGTGTCAAATAAAAGTTTGTAATTGTATCCTGCAAAATTTATAGATGAAAAAACTTATAATTTCATCTAATAAAAATTAAATAATATTACATTTTCTCAAAATCAACATGCAGTTGCTTTAGATAAAATATTGATCAACTCGTTTAAGAATATAACAATTATAAACTTTAATTTGATTAAAAAAAAAGTGTTATCACCATCAATCTTTAAATTATGGTGTAGACAATTGCGTCATTGTTAAAGTAATAAAGTGCAACTAATAAAGGTTAATCTGAATAACTAATAAAAGTTAATCCAAATAACAAACAACTCAGTATAGTTTCAACAAATTTTGAGTTTAAATTTTTGTGTATATAAAAAATCTTCATAATAAACTCACTCATCACATCTAATCTAAGTACGTGACCTGAATCAGATCCAAATTAAATCTGATGAAAAAAAAAAGTAATAAAGTGCATAGAGGAAAATTTCAACATTTGCATTATGACATAAATAGAATAGATTGTACTTTAGGTGACTGATACTTTCATTTTAAGTAAGCTACCCAAATTTGTGTTATAGATTTCAAGTTTTAAAGTAAAATCAAGAGAATAAAAAATATCTCTGATGCTTTTAAATAAATTTATTATGATGGTTTTATATTAGTTTATTATTGTTAAAAGAAAAGATTTTCAAACAATTTTTTGGAAGAACTTTTGAATGAAAACACTGACATAAGCATGCAGGTTAAAATGCATACTTTACCAAAAGGACCCCCAATACCAATCAAGCTAATGTAGAAATTATTTGTCATTTTGTTACCCCGTTTTTTTACCCTTTTCTCAGATAATAAAAGATGTATTTGCCAACGCACACTACCTCTTTATTTTTTTTCAAACTAAGAAAATGTAGAAATGATGAAATAGTTTTGGTGCAAAAAATAACATCGCCCCAAACTCACTTATCCATGGGCTGAAGTCTTTTGCTAACCTTAGTTTCACGAAGCCCATTGATTGAAATCAGGAGGAATGGCCTTAAGGTGAGCTTACACATTTTTCATCAGAGTTGACTTCAAAAAAAATTGGGGCAAGCTTTTAGTTTTTACCTGAAAACTTGCTATCTACATCACCTACTACACTAATTTAGTTCGAAAACACATTGAAAAATCTGTAAACGTAGATCTAACAGACAACAACTAGACGTGAATTCATGATCATTCAAACATGAAATAAAACTTGCACTTAGTCACCCAGTTTTCTAAGGGTATATGTTTGGATGCTTAATGACAAGTGGAATGCAATGGGACAAGATAGAAAGGAACGAAATAGGCTGGAATAAAATGAAGTAATTATTCCATTATTTGGATATTTTTAAGATGCATGGTAATAAAAAAAGATTGGTTTCATCTTATATCTCTCAATTTGGATGGGAAGAAAAAGAGAAGTATTGAAGGGTATGCATTACATCATGTTTGATTTGAAACAATCCAAACAATAAAACCCATTCAAACAATAAATTCAATATCATTCCATTCTATTCTACTCTTCCATCACTATCCATTAAACCCTGCGAAAAGTTGCAATCAACCCACTCCTCCTTTCTCAAAAAAACATTCAAAAAGGGAAGAATAAGACAAAGTGACTTATTTTATGGCTATAGGCTTCCAACTAAGAAAAATAATGCTTCTTCACAATACAAACAAATATTTTCCATTTAAACAAAACACTTTTAATCAATTTATAGAGAAATAAAACAGGCCTTTTGGGCCTCAGTTCATCCCCTTTTTTTTACCCAAAACAAAAGGACAATTAAGACTAGAACTTCAGTTTTTATACCTCATCTTATGTGTCGTAATCTTTAATAATTATCAGCAAATACATTGTTACCAAGAAGTCTTAAGTTAAGAGCCAGAAATGGATATGATCCCAATTCTCAACTTATGTATCACTATAAATTAGCAAAGGAACATATGTCACAAGTATACACAGCATTCATCACCCAACAGTGATTGGTCACAGTGGAAGTGGAAAATAACCCTAGGCAAACTTTACCTGCAATATCAAGGATTCATATCCTGGAGTAGCCACTTTAGGGAGGCTATTACCTAAGCACCAACCCCAGTTTGAGAGTTAATTTCACAGCTTTGCCTGTGAGGATTCCCGGTAATAGACCCAAAAATGCATAACTGTCAAGTAGTAATTTGGAACATGCAGCCACTGTTAATGCTTGTTAATACTTAATATGCACACAAACATACTACCACTGTAAAAATCTACAGATTCCTCACCAGTCTACAAATGCTACATATTTTTCCTGCCCTAAAACACATCATTTTTTCTTGCCTTACTATTTTCTTTCTCACCTTCCTAATTGAGAAACCGTGTCAACCGGCAATTTCTCATTTTTTTGGTTTACTAATAACCAAAAGTGAGACCATGTACCTCTAACATCAAATTTCACACTTATAGATTAGCCTCATAACAAGTACTACTTCCAAGTAACTGACTCTAGTTCTATTAACACTTTTAGTTGGAACTGATTTTACTATTCTATACAATTAAACACTTTTCAAAAAGCATGAAGCATGCACTTAATAACAATTCAAATTTGACAGATAAAAGCCAACGATTTGATTAAATTTTCATTTTTTTTCCCATGACTGGACATGCATAAAAAAAGGGGAAATTTTCCCGCTATGACAATCATTTCACCTTCACTGTTCAACAAACCTGTTCCTCTAAAAACTGAAGTGCATCTACCAGGAAATATTAAAATGATTTGGTAATCAAATTGCTGAAACTAACACTTGTTTTGGACACTAGTATTTTTAGCCATATCTAAAAGAAATGCAGTAAAAAGGAAAAAGATTCTGGATAAAAACCTACATTGTTGTCAACACTTTCTTAGACAAGATGAACCATTCTTGCAATAAGGCCATCTACAAGCATATTACAATCTAACAAATTGGGTAGTGTTTTCCAGTCCAACCCAGCTTTCACAGGTCATGAACAGTAGGCATATTCTAATTAAGAATGGATTACAAGCAGACGATGAGTATCATGTTGAACAACTGAAGTCACATTTAGTTCGAACTTGGAAGTAGAAATGAGTTCGAAATAACATTCAATCACCAGTCGGGCTATAAACAGATAAAAATTTCCTGCTAAATATTAATAAAAGATCCCATCAGCTAATTCCCTATAAGGATCAACCAACCAACCAAAAGATTTAATTCCCAAGAACTAAAATCAACGAAGAGTAGATAACAACAAAGAAAGAGTTAGAAGAGAAAATGAGATGTCCCGTGACCTTGAAAATTCTTGAACTACAAACCAGCTAAGAAGCCTCTATCCCTGGCCAAATACACATGTATATACATGAAAAACAGGCTGAAAGAAATAAGAGGCCAGTTGATCATAGAGTAGATCTACCTGATAGTGACAAACTTGTTGGTACCGTGTTTTGCCCAATAAGTCCTCAAATCAATCGGATTAGAAAAGTTATAACCCTCGGCTGCGAGTTTCTCTAAAACTTTCTTAAATGCTCCTATACTCATTTTCCTTCCAGCTATCCTAGCACCACGCCGCTTCGTACTCATAGGCAAAGGATAAACGGACATGCCTGTCGTGCAGCACGCAGATTGCCACCCACCAGAGCCCCATCTATAACACTGTTGAGGTGACCCAGTGCATGAACAAACAGGGATTGGAATACTAGAAATATCCATATCAATCCCGTTTATTACAATTTCAGTAGTTTTCTTCGGAACCCTTGCCCGTTGAACAGTAGGAGTATTCTCATCCTTTGGCACACGAGGCCCCCTCTTGGGCTTCTTCACTTTTGGAGATTTCGGCACCTTGGGACCCTGTCTTTTCTTACTAGTGCCGTTCGCCTTCTCAACAGCAGGTTCCTCTTCCACTGGCCGTTCTTCCTTCGGCAATTCTGGCGGTTGAATCATTTGCATTTGATGTGCTGAAGAAGTCTCCGGAATTCCACCATAATTATGGTTTGTAGGTATCATATTCATATACTTTTCTCTCTGATTACTAATCCACGCTTCTCTCATGTATTCCATAGAGTATGTAGCTTGGGGCACACCAATGTCCCTATGATGAAAAGCCCCATTAGCACCAGATAACACCGCAGCATTGCGCCCTCCAAGCATCGGTTTTTCCGGCATTGACGACATCAGCTGCAGCCCCAAATGGCTCTTAAACGACGTCGCCGGTTCATAGTAGCCCCAATTGCGTATGTTAAGACCATTATCACCATCCATCACAACACCAAATGATGAAACAAATTGCAAGAACACAATGTACACTATGTTAAATATCCTCACAAGTTATCCAGCTCCATTGCATTCTCCTAACAAACCAACACAATAAACTCAATATTTAGACAGAGAAATAAAAAAAAAATCAAAATGCAAGTGGGTAACCTAAAAAGCCCACCTTTTGCTTGAACTCAAGTAGAGTCAAACTAGGAAAAGGGGGTTCAACAGGCTAAATTACACAAACCCCATAAATGCACACATGCAAAACCTCATGCCCAAAAGGTATCAGCTCCAGGATTTTGATCTAAGATCCATTTCACAAACCAACAAAGCTAAAAAAAATCAGATCTTTGAGTCAAAAACTAAACAGCACAACAAAATCTAAAGTCAAAATGGAAGAGGAAAACGGAGATTAAAGAAGATTTCAAGGTGAACTCATGCCAAGATTTGAAGAAAAAAGAAGAGGGTGTGTGAATGTTTGAGCAGAGCGAGAAGCGAGCGGTACCTGTTAGGGTTCTTAGCGTCTACGAACGGAAAATGAAGATAGCAAACAGAAAAACAGTTGTCTCTACGCCATCTTAAAATCTAATCTTAAATCTTTAAAAATTAATTTGAAATTCTAATATTAAATAATATCTTTTTATGTTTTATTATGCTTCAACATGTGCAAATTGACCAGACCAATTACCGAAACGTGAATTATTCATTGGATTTAATTTTCAGCTTTCTTAACAGCAGTTTTAAGAATTCAAAATTGATAAAATTTTATTAAAAATTAAAACTGAACTTTCTTAATAAAATCTTGTTATTTTTAAGTACTTAAAATTAAATTCAAAGAAAAATTTTAATACTTTTAAATTTTAAAGGACTGAATTTTATTTTACAATTAGAACACTATAATTTTATTATCTTTGAAATACTTTGTTCTTGCACGTATAAAGATAAATATTTTCAGCCAAAACTTAAAAGAACACAGCAAAAGGTAGCTTATGAGTTGATAATATGTTTGGAGTTTGCAAATCCAAATATGCTTTATCTTGTGTGTTTGGACGAAGAAATTATATATTCCTACATTATATTATATGTATTTGGATGATAAAAAAAAAAGTGATTATAAAATACTATAAAATTTTAACTAGATAAAATTTATATCAAATGGAAAAAAAAATTCAAATGATAAATGTTCAGAAAGAATTTAAAAATCTATTTATTATGTTTAACTTTTTATAATTATTATCTATAATTTTTTTTATACTTTACTTTCACTTAAATCATTCGTTTATTATTAAATTTATATTCTCCACAAATTTTCAAATTATTTCATCCGAATACAACTTAAAATTACCAAATTGAGAGTTAAAAATACATTTTAAAAAAAGGTTAAGTAGAGACCACCGTGACTTAAATATCGTAAAAAATATAGTTGTAATTTCATCATTATTAGAAAACATAGTAGACAAAACAATAATCATCACACTTGTAATACAAATTATCCATAAACATTTTTATTTATTTTGATATGACTTAAATGAAATTCACTAGAAAACAAAAACCTCACCTTGTTTAAAATGAGAGAAAACTATTTTGAGACAATTCCAAAATCAAGTGAGAAGCAGCTAGTTATTAAAAGATTAAAGTATTTTTTTTTAATTTAAAAGTTTAAAGAATTTTAATTTACTAAATTGAAAGTGTGAAACATGATTGGGGTTTAAATGGGGATATTTTTAAGTTGTGTATATCTGATTAATCTAACTCAAACTAAAATTAATAGGTTCAATAATCGAGTATGATCAAGTTTTAACATTAATAATTTAATCAAGTTTAGATTAGATATTGAGTTTGTCTTTTTATAACCATTAATACAGAGCAATTATATATAAACATAAAATAAAATATCATATAATGCTTTGTATTTGATTATTTTAACGTATATTTTTAAATATAATTTTGAAAAATATTTTATTATTTTAATATAAAGTCTAGATTTTTAAATAAAATATCAATAAGGATTTATATTTAATTTGATATTTATTAAATTTCATATTTACATTTGTTTCAAAGTATAAATTTGATGATTCTAACTTAAATTAACTTTTTCTTAGTAATCAAGTTTAAGTAAGTTGAAATCCCATGCCAAAAATTAACTCAACTCAATCTATTGTATTAATTATATTGAATTAACTTTTCATTAATTATAATTTAATTCTTAAGTTATGAAATACTCTTAAACTTAATTAGAGAGCAGGCTTTTTTCACATTAGTATAAATTTAAATACTTTTATTTTATTAACTGTTTAATGTAAATTAAATAAAAAAAATTAAGATTAAGTATAAAAAAATTTAAATTTTCATTAGCGTGAGGATATCCTTCCCCTTAACTATATTTAATTTTACAAAATTAAAGTAGCAGAAACAACAACTATCACACTCGTGTTATAAATTATTTATAAACATTTTCATTTATTTTGTTATAATTTAGATGGAATTTATGGGAGATAAAAAAAAATCCGTATTTAATTAAAAAAAATTTACTTTAAAAACAATTTTTGTTCGTGAATGATTAAAGTCAAAATTTAAATGTTTAAAAGATAATAATAAAGGAATACTCACTTAATGAAGAATAAAAAATTAAGATCGAAGTTTTTTTTCTTTTTCTTTTTCTTTTTTTTAGATTTTTATGAAATTTTAGTGTTATGACAAAATAGTTTTTTGTTATAGAATTTAAGGAAGTTGAATTTATAAGACGATTACATATTGAATATCATATTATCTATTTTTTTTATATGTTTATAATTTTTAATTTAGTTTTGAGTATTTTAAATTTTTTTGGTCGTGATTACGCACTTACATGATTATAAGTATTAAAAAAATTAAAAGAAAAATTCTAATTATAGAAACTCCTAAATAAAACATAAAATTTGAAGCATAAAGTGGATTTGATTCTTTTGGAAAAAAATAGATCACATCTCATCTCGCTTAATGATATAATGTGATACAATTAGTGAATTATTACAAAACTAATAATCGGTTAAAATAAGATTACTTGCCTTCGAAGTTTATAAATCTCAACATTCTTGATGCAAATTATTGTAGACTTGAATGTTTGAAGCTTTTGAATTTTGATTTCATTCATCTTAAAATTAGTTTGCAAATCGTTTTCTTTTTAAAATTTTCATATTCTTAAATATATTTTGGTTAAATAATTAAATTATAAATTATTAATAATTAACAACATGCTCCCTTTAAATATAACTTTTAGTATTTGACAAATTATGCACTCTTGAAAATATTAATAATTAAAATTAATTGATGATAATGAATGAAAAAGAGTAAAAATAGGCTATTTTTCACATTTATTTTACATAGTATTTAGATAAAGCAAAATAGAAGGAATATGAGAAATGCTTTTAGAAGTAACTTGTTTGTTTCAAATGTTTAGATAAAAGGAGAAAGAGTTAAATAAAAATTCGCCTTCCCTCCATTATTAGAGTGATTTATATTTATAGTGAAGAAAAATTACTAGTTTTTTTATGGTACTAATTATGGATATTTGTGTTTAAGTTGAGCAGAAATTATTTTTCCATGCTTAATTTTTTAATATTGAGCGCAATTGAGATATTTGTTAAAATTAATTGTAGTCATATTTTTTGTTAAAACATGTATTTTTATTTAAAAATGCAAAAAAAAAGATAACAATAAATCATATAAGTATTAGATTATCATTAATTTTAACACTTGAATATAGTAGTATATTATATTTTATTTTTCCCATCCTCTCTCGCATTCCTATTAAGTACTTGCAAACTTAATTTTAGATTATCGTGATCTTACAAAATTAATTTTAACTAGAATTAAGCTTAAACTAAAGAAGTATAAAAAGTTTTATCTAAAAAAAAAAGTTATGATAAAAAATAAATAAATTTCCAAACCCAATGTAATATTTTTTTCACTTTTAGTTTAACATGCTTTTTTAGGGATAGAAATCACATTCAACTTAGAAACAGTCAACACTTTTTTTTTTCTTGGAAAAATCATTTTTTTCTCCCTCTACAATTGATTTTAAAGTCTATTCGGATATAAAACTTAATCAAGCATTTATTTAATAAATTTTTTTACATAATAACTTATACCATCAATTTATCCATAAATTTTTTTTTAAAAAATTATTTTGCAAGTTATATTAAATGTTTATAAAAATAAATTAAAAATAGTTTATGAAAGTTGTCATAAGTTGGTTATAAAATCTTTTAAACGAATCATTAATATCTTCTCAAATTAAAAAAAAAATGTAAAAGTGATAAAATATTTTTGGTGTAGACAATATTACCTTAAACTTAAGAAGAATTGTTTATTTTTAAAATTTATCAAATTTAATTTTAAAGTACCAAATAAGATACAAATTAATTTAAACCACATCTTCATTAAATTATGCATTTTTACTAAAAGAAAAAAGCAATTATTAATTTTTCTTTGGTAAAACAAACAGGATCTATTCAGCCTTGGGGTTTTATGCAAATCCTTAGTTTTCAATGCTACTATCCCCAAGTTCAACGAGACATTTTTTTAAACTTATTTCGATAAATTCCTCAATATAAATTATCAAAATAAATTATTTTCAATTTATCTCAATAAATTTTATAATTAAATTTATCACGTAAGCCATCATTTAAAAAAAAACTATTGAATAAATGTTGGATTAAATTGTATATCCAAAGTATCATTTAAACTGCAAAGTTTTTGTTCATATTTCACAGCCTCTATAAGGAAAAGAAAACGTTTTCCCATTTCCAGCTTCTTGACATCCCCGAATTGGTCTAAAACACCTTTTCCACCCTATTTTAGGCTCAGGTTTCAACCTTCAGCTATCAAACTGCTTAGAGCAACGCTTTAACAAGAAAACTTGCATCTATATTGTCAACCAGACCAATTTAGCCACCCAATTTCTTAAGGGTATGCTATGGATACTTCATGAAAAGTGAAATGGAATGCAATTAAATAATATCATACCAAATGGGGTAAAATGAAGTTACCATTCCATATGCTTGGATGTTCTTACAATGGAAAGACTCATACCCTCCCAAACTGAATAGAAAGGAACAAAAAAAGATACTTGGCCTGAAATGGTGTGTATTCCATTCAATGTTGTGTTTGAAAATAGTTTAAAAAAAACTATAAATTTGATTCCAACACATAAGTTACAACTAGTAACATTGAAGTAAATATAGATCCATAAATATTCAAACATGAATCCAAGCAAACACTAAGTACAATTCCAAACAATCTAATTAATGACACCGAATATCACTCCATTCTATTCTATTTCACCTCATTCCCATCTCTTTCCCGTCAATCTAAATATAGCCTCATTGTTATTCAAATAGAAAGCAAGGAAAAGAGTGCTTCTACAGAATACAAAGATTTTCCATTTATTTTTTTTTCTAAAAAAAAAATAAAAATTCATTAATTTGTAGAGAAATAAGCCCAATTCATGTGGGCATCAACCCAGCCTGTTAGTATGCACAGCAACATATAACCCCTGTAACAGTCTACAAAGAGAATTCACATTCCTCACCAGTCTAT